GAGGAGCAGAGTCCTTGGTGGGCACAGCTGCTGCAGGCACCTCTGCCAAGGGGGCTGTGCCGTGTCCTGGCCCGGGACACTGAGACTGAGGGGCCGCTTCCTTCCACAGCAAATCACCTACTGGCTGAGGGTCCAGTGGCCTGCCCCCAGAGCCAGGGCATCCGCCCTCCTGGCCCACCTCCTGGAGGATGCCACCAGGCTGCCATCTTTCAATGTAAGTCCCCCCACCCCTGGATATGGCTTCTCCCCAAGGGGGCAGAGCAAAGGGAGAGAATAGCGGCTGCCCCAGCTCTTGGAGGGAGAAGCTGTGGACTGGTCTCCCTCCCTCTCCCAGATGCTGGAGTGTCTGACCCCGGGGAATTCTCCCCTCTCCACTAAGAGGACCCCCTTGGATTTGGGGTGGGGGGTCAGGAGGGGGAAGATTCAGGGGGTTCAGGGCTCCGGTGCTGCCTGTGGATTGGCAAGAGAGGCCTCGTCATCTCCTTCCCTCTAGGTCATCCAGGAGGACTACTTTGGCAGCCTGGCGGCGAAGCTGGCTGTCTCCCTGGCCGACCCGGAAGCTGCCATCTGGGAGAAGGCCAGGGAGGTCATCGGCCAGCTCCTGCACATCCTCCTTCGCCAGCAGGGTGTCAGCTGGGCAGGAGGAGTCCAGCATCCCTCCGCTGTAGCCGGTCATCTCCTCCCACCCGAGACACCCACAGTGGATTCAGCTGCCTTTCCTGGTGCTCTCCCCGCTGGTTCCCATGGCCCCAGCCCTCCTCCGGTGCGTAAGGTGGAGGGAGGCCCAGCAGAGCAAGGACAGACCCCCTCAGGAGTGTCCGAGTCAGGTTGGAAGTGGGGGGGCTCAGAGACCCTTGCTTGAGAGCAGTTCTGGTTCCAAAGGAAGAGACACCCCCAGGCCAGAGAGCAGCTCAGCTGTTCTGCGCGGGGCCAGTCCGCTTGAGCTCCCGCTGTCTTCTTGTCAGGCCTGAAGAAGAAGAGGCCCACCATCGCATGGGAGGAGGACCCCGAGCATCCCTGGAGGGAGGGCTACCTGCACCTCACCTGCGTGGCTGAGGTAAGGAGGACCCTCCCTGGTGATGGAGGAGCAGCCTTGAGAAAGGCCTCGCCTCTTGGGGCCTTTGCTTATTCCACAGGAAAGAGGAGAGCCACCTTCTGAAGAGAGACTGGTGGGGCTCTTCCCTTGCCTGAGGAATGCCCCAGGTTTTGGCTATTCCTTTAGGAGCCCCATCTCCCCACAGTGCACCTGGCCCTGACCAGAAGAGCAGGAAGAGGAGAGATGAGGCTCCGCCTGAGGGAGCGGTTTCAAGTCTCCGTTTGGAAAGGGAGGGAAGGCGGGGGGGGGGAAGGTTCTGTCTAGGGAAAAGGCTCCAGGGTTTCCCTCTGGGCAGGGCGGGAGAGGACTGAAAGGGTGTCTTCTTGTGGGTTTCAGGTGTTCCGGGGGCACCTCAGCCAAGGGCAGAGGCTCTCCTTCCAGCGGGCAGCTCTGGAGGACGCCTTGAGCCTGGCCATGCCGTGGGTGAGGGAGGGAGGCCTCATCCTCCTCTACACCCACCTGGGCCAGGCTCATGGACTGCTGGAAAAGGGAGGGAAGGCCGGGGGGCCAGGCTCTGTCTAGGGAAGAGGCGCCAGGGTTTCCCTCTGGGCAGGGCGGGAGAGGACTGAAAGGGTGTCTTCTTGTGGGTTTCAGGTGTTCCGGGGGCACCTCAGCCAGGGGCAGAGGCTCTCCTTCCAGCGGGCGGCTCTGGAGGACGCCTTGAGCCTGGCCATGCCGTGGGTGAGGGAGGGAGGCCTCATCCTCCTCTACACCCACCTGGGCCAGGCTCATGGACTGCTGGAGGAGGAGGAGGTGAGTAGACGGGGAGAGCGAGCACCTTCGGCATCCCAGCTCCTGGCTGAGACTCCAAAGAGGACAGGAATCACTTGGGGCCTTTCCCCATTTCCCCAGGTTGAAGATCTGCGGCGAAGCCTCTCTGCCCTCCTCTATAATCTTTGGAGGGGCAGGGAGGTGCCTGCGGATATCGGGGCACTCCTGCCAAGCACAGGTAACGTCCCTTTCAAGAGAAAAGGGTGGGGATGGATTGCCCTGGCTTTGGAACCGCGGGAGGAGCCGAGGCTGTTCCTTCTCCACACCGAGGCCCATCGTCTGCCGAGGGCCCCTCTTTTCCCAAACGGTGGCTGCGGGGGCCCCCGCAGGGAGGGGCTGGGTCTTGAAACGCCAAACCCTGCCCCAGGGCAAAGAGGGCTCTTCCTGAGAAAGTCCCGTCAGACAAAATGCAGCTTCACCTGCCCACTATGGGAGGACAACCCAGAAGCAATTCTGCCAGCTCTTGTAAAGCGGGTCTTTGGGCAGGGTGGGAGAGGACTCAAAGGGTGACTTGTTGATGGATGGTGTTCCGGGACAACCTCAGCAAGCAGCAGAGGCTCTCCTTCCAAGGGCGCTTGCACATTTCACAGTCCCTTCCAAGAGAGATGGCACAAGAGAGCCAAGAGAGGTAAAGCCTGACTTTCTTCTCTTCCATCCAGATGACCTGGAGCAAAGAGGACTCTGCAGGAGTGCCCCTCCCCACCCCGTCATCCTCCTGTGTGTCCAGTGTGGCGGGAGGGATGGAAATCACTCACAAGGTGATGTGAACGACCCTGGAGGGGGGTATGATCCTTCGTAGCATAGGCCACCCAGTGGTCTGATGAGATTGGCAGAGGGCTGGTTCCCCTGACTAGCCTCTGGGTGGAGATAGTCCATGAGGGGCAGTGAGGCGGTCTCTCTGAAAGGGCTCAAGGGGAAGACACCTTGGACAGCGGGAGGAAAGACAAATCTCTCTTGGTATTCCCCACATCCCCTCTCCCCAGCTGCAGCAGCACTGAGGATGCCCTCCAAAGGGACCCTGACGCATTTGGTGCTGGCTGCCACAGCAGCAGATACCCCCCCAACACAGGGGCCTGCTCCAGAGAGGCAATGTCCATTCATTTTGCAGGCCCCCAAGCATCCCAGAGCCACCCCTGTGGACCCTTTCTGAGTTCTCTCACCCAGGGTGCATAAAACGGCATGTCCCACGGAAGGGCTCGGTAGCCAAGCCAGGCACACAGAGGTCCTGCCGGAGCGGACAACTGCCCTGCGAAAGGTGCCTGTAGCACAGGGGAAAGGTGCCCCACAAGCCCAGTCTGCTTGGTTGGGAAAGAAAGCGGACCTGGAGCGCTTCTTGGAAGGAGATGGGCTGCCAGACTGCCACTGTCTGTGAATTCTGCCTTCTCTCAAAATCCCCCTTTCAGCTTCCGAGAGGACACTGAGGCAGGGCTGGAAGTTCGGCCCCCGAGCGATCCCCGTGGGGCTTGGCTGCAGCCACTTTCAGCTCCACTCTTCTTCTTCTTCAGAGCCCCCTTTGGAAGGGGGACTGGCCCAGTAAGAGTGAAACTGGCTACCTCAAAACGTTGGTCCTTCCCGGACCCTTTTGCCGGCAGCCTGATATCCTGATGTGATTCTCCTTAGCCGGCTCACAGCCTGACTCCTGCCGCTTCCGGAGCCGGACACGCCACCTCGCGTTTCGGACAGCCATCCGTGCTCTGCACCTGGGAGGTCAGAACAGAGGGAGGGAGGGGCTTAGTCTCCTGTTCTCCAAGGATGCCTTGGGAAGGAGATACAGGCGAGTGAGACTCAGGACCAGCCTTCCAATGGGAATGGGGCGGGTGGGAGTCCCCTGGGTGGGATGGGAGTCCCACTCTTCTTTCTCCATCCTGTTTCAGGACTTTTGACCAGGTTGTGCTTATGGTGGACAGAATGGCAGAGATCCCATCACCCACATGGGGGGGGGGGTGCAACAGGGTTGCCATTCCCCCAGCAGGGCGGAGGATCCCCTGCATTCACCTCGTCTCCTGACACCGCTCCGAGAGATGCTGGACGGGGGAAAATGGCCTTTGTGCCAATGGTGTGATATCACTTCTAGGGACAACCCCCCAAAGATGTCACACTTCTCTAGGAATTGCTGACAACTCTACGGTTTCACCCTGGAAGTGACGTCACACCATTACTTATTGCCTCCCCTCCCATTTTCTCCTGCTGGTTGCCAGCAATTCCCCCTCTAGAAAGAACTGGGAGGCAAAATGAATCACTGAAAATATAATTAAAACCCAACTTTCAGCTTCCATTCTTCCTGTCCCCAAAGGGCAGCATTCGGGGGGCCACTGGGAGCTGCAGCGGGAGGCAAGGAAGGGCCACTCCACAGACAGAAATCCCCTCCCATTGGCAGAAGTGTTCTGTGTCCATCCCAGCTGTTGTCATTATTTGCACAATACACCTTACCTCTAAAATGTATATTGCCTGTTGTGTTTTGACTCTCTTTCTGACCTGTCATCTTTCTCATTGTTTTTCTGCCTCCCCACTTCATCACTCTTTCTCTCTCTTTTTCTGCTCCACCCCGCAAATGTCCAGGAATTTCCCAACCTGGAGTTGGCAACCCTATTTATTTATTTATTTATTTAACAGCCAGTTTACCTTTATCTGCCTCTCTGTCTTCTGCTTTCCATCTCCACCCCCAGCCTCTACCTAGGAAAATTACAGTCTTTCTCCACAGTGGGGACAAAAGCAGCTTTCATTATTCCCTCCTCCTTTTTATCTGCACAACAACCCTGTGAGGCTGGTTAGGCTGGAATATGTGACTGGTCCAAAATCATGCAGCCAGCTTCCACTGCAAGATGGGGATCTGAACCTGGGTCTTGCAGACCTTACTTTGAAGCTCTAACTGCTGCACCTCACTGGCTTTCATAGCGTGGCTGCTAATGAATGGTAGCAAGCAGCCGAGGCTAGGTGAGTCATGCAAATCAGGGGGCACCTGGCAACCCTAGACTACTGCTAGGCCTAGAGTTGCCAACCTCCAAATGGGACCTGGGGAGCCCCCAGAATTAAAACTGGACTCTAGACAGCAGAGGTCTGTCTCCCTGGAGGAAATGGCTGCTTTTGAGGGTGGACTCTGTGGCATTATACCCAGCTGAGGCCTCTCCCTTCCCAAACCCAGCCCTCCACAAAAGCTCAAGAAATCCCCCAGCCTGGCACTGGCAACTCTTGTGAGGCCTGGCCCCACGGCTCCCTCCCTCCCTCCCTCCCTCCTTGAAATGCCAAAAGAAGCCTGGAAAGGGCCCTTCCCCCACCCTTTGACTCACAGAGCCAGTTAGAAGCCTCCCTCCCCCCTCCCCGAACGTTCTAACCTCTCTCTCACCTGATGCCTGGAGTTAGATCCCTGCAGAGGCCATTTCAAAAGGTATTGGGGGGGATTCAGCCGTCCCTGAAGGGATTTTTTTACTTCTTGGATTTTTCTGCAGACACAGGAGGTATACTCACTATGTAGGAAAAGCTGTTGGGGCAGAGTGAGCTTCCTGTTAGTGGAAATAAGTATCCGCACACGGCGCCCTCTGTTGGAAATTAGATATATAGATAGATAACTACTAATGAACAGAGCAGGGGTCCCCAACACGGTGCCTATGGGCCCCATGGCACCCACCGACACCTGCTAAGGAGCCCGCCAAGTGTTTTTAGAAAGTGGGCAAGACCAGGTGGGGCTTTTTCCCAGCAAGGCTTCTGGCTATGGAGATTTCTTAAAATGTTTTTTGGCAGCAGCTGCCATCACAGCAAAAGGCTTTTCACTGTGCGACTGAAAACTGCAGCAGCCATTTTGTGGCTAAGCCCACCATACCGTGTCAGATTTCCAAAAAGATTGGGGACCCCTGTAATAGAGAATACAATTTGGGGGAAGTGTCCAGACTCACCTGAGACTAGATGAATGGCTGAAAAACGGGCAAGGATGACATTCTCTCTCTCGTTCTGCAGGCGGGGGAGATACGCGCACAAGTGCCATTGCCAGAGACGAAAGGCCAGAGACGTTTGGCTGATGAAAGAGAAAAATCCAAAATTGGCACAGCTTCAGTGGTTAAAATATTCTGATAAATGATAAATTATACAGTAAAGTAGTTGGCAGATTGGTGCCCTGAGGCTGTTCAGCTCGTCCCAGTCCTTTGTTTTTTTCAAGTTGTACCTCTGAGGTGATGGACTGCTGTCACACTGGGTCCGTCCCCCCAACCCACTGGACTCCATCCACCTCAGGACTCCCCAAGAAGTGCTGGCTCCCTGACCCAAGGGGCTCTGCTGCCATCTTGGTGCCCAGATTTTTGATAGGAAGAGGTGTCCAAATGCACCTTTTCTTCTCCACCAGATCTTCAGCTTCTCATGACAGAGCTCCTCCCTCTCTATTTATTTGCTCTTGATCCATTCCCATGCAGTCCCCTCCAATCTACATTGGTGGCTCTGAGGATGTCTTCCCAAAACTGCCAAATTGGAGGGAACAGGACGCTTCATTCTGTTTGCTGTGGTGCACTGAGAACAAACATGATGGAAGTGGTGGTTGTGAAAACAGAATGGCAGGGAAATCAGGCAGTGGGGTCTCTGTTCAGTGCTCCCCCTTTGGGAACTCTCTTTTCCAATTGGCTTCTGAAAGTGAAAGTCAGCGGCTTGGAGGCAGTTGTTTTAGGAGCAGAAAGAGGGGCAGGGAGAGGCACCCTGAAGTTTCCCAAATGAGGAAGAGGAAGGAGATCGGCTCGGCCCAAAGTGACAACGGATGAACCTGCTTAATTTCCGACAGACGGGTGGCCGTGCTGACTCTTCTCTCCGCAGGGCAGGAGAGGCCACTCAACTGTCATGGAACTCTGAGAGAGGCTGTGAGGTCACCAACCGCCAGGCGGAGCCTGGAGTTCTAGACTGGAAAGTTCTCTCCAGACTACGGCAATCAGTTGCCCTGGAGCAAACGGCCACTTCAGAGGGTGAATGCTACAGAATCACATCCCGCCCGGCTCCCTCTCCTCCCCAAACTCTGCCCTCCTCAGGGTTTGCCACCCAAATCTTTATGAATTTCTTTGTCCAGAGCTGGCAACCGTAAGGGGGGGTGGATGCACAACCACAAAACGGCTGCTGCAGGAGGCAGAGCCAGGCACAAAATGGATGCCAAAGGAAAAGCGAGCCAAGCACATATACAAGAGGAAATGCACACGCACACACACACAGAGTTACCAACAGACTACAAGACACACATGCGCAAGACGTGATGGTGGGGGATAACACACACACAAGCAGCTGTGGGAGTCTTAAATCACCCTTCTACTGTCCCAGCAGCCTCTCCCCCTCTCTCCGTCTTCCTATCCCAGCAGCTCACTGGGCCCAGCCTGAAGGGAAGCTGAACTCTCCCGCTCAGAGGTGGGGGACGGAGAACATCGGGGGACTGTTAGGCTTATTTCTGCTCAGCCCAGTAGACTGAAAGGGATCGGCGTGGGAGGGAGGCTTGTTGAGGCAGCCGGACCGAACTCACAGGGTTGTTGTGGGGGGGAAATGGAGGGGAGGAGAAGACTGTAAATTAGTTTGGGTCCCCGCCAGGGAGAAATAGAGAGCATAAATCAGGTGAATAATTCTGTAGGGTTCAGAAAGGATTCCTTCAGCTGTAGAAAGGTGATCTCAGATGGGACTCTACTTAGGGGGGTTTCTTCCACTACGTCATATTACCCAGGGTGGTTCTGAAGGGAGATGTGGTTCCCCCCCCCAAATCCAACCAGATCCAAAACGAAGAGTACCTTGCTGACAGACAAGAACAACAAAATGTCCTCCTGGTTTCTGTTTTGCAAAAAGATTAGCCTGCTCCTCCTAGAGCACTGCCGTGCCGTCTCTCCCCTGGCTCCTGTCCTCCCAGTCCTGGGATTCAGAGCGAGACAGTTGCCGACACCCACCTCCCTCGGCAAACCTCTCTGACAGCCCACATGCTGTTTCCTGAAGGGGTCCCCCTTTCCCCCAGGAGCCATGATTCTGCGGGTGTAGCAGGAGAGGGGAGTCGGGGAGGGCCCGCTCTGTCCATGTCTAACCTATTTCGGGTCCTTATTTAAAATCCAGTGGCGTCTTGTGGGACCGAAATCCGTGTTAAGTTTGGATCTTCAGTGGGGAGAAAAGTAGGCTATAAATGAACTAAATAAAACAAAACAAATGAATACACATTCTGGCTTGTTTGTGATGAAGTGGTTCACTGTGAAAATTCTCATCCGTGTCCCAGACCCTTTTTGGACACTTCTGCCCCCTACACCCAGAGCAACAGGATGTGCAGAAGGGCACACAAGATACGCTGCAGGGTGCACAAGAGGATGCCCTGGAAGGTGTGCCAGAGGACGTGCCGGAGGGCGCACTGGAGGACATGCCCGAAGACACACAAGAGAACTCTTCAAGTGTCTGCTAATTATTAGCATTACGACAGCTAAAGTTATTAGTATTAAGACAGTTAAAGCGCCTGCAAACTACTACAATTTTTATTAATATTACTATTAAGTTTCCTGTGCGTGGTTGTTAAGATTGATAGCAATTACATTTTAGTGCGTTCCAGT